ATATACACACACACATATATACATACATATATATATATATATATATATATATATATATACACATATATATTGATGTGTTTAAAGCAAAGTGCACCGTATTCTTGGAACCTGCCACATGATTAGTCATCTGATCACATAAGAAAAGCATGTGTTCAGGACCACTGACAAACCCGTTCACAATACAAACACAGATGTGTACTTTGAAAAACAGAAAAAAAGTGACAGAAAGACTATGTAGAAAACTATCATTTGTACAGTTATTAGCGGGTGTCTGCTTGTAAGCTCCATGAAGCTCGTTGGTATTGGAAAGCCAGAGTGGTCAATAAATACAGCACCATCTTTCAAAGAACAACCAGTGTCTCAGTACCAAACAGGGGCTTGTGGGAAATGCGGTTTAATAATGTTGTTTAATAATATGTTTGAGCCTGTGACCGTTTGGCTGGGCAAAATAAAAGAAAGTTTCACTGTGTGAAAACAGCACACATTTGCAGTGTTTATATGCATTTATGCTGACTTTCTTGACCTATAAATGTTCTTGCGAGAAAACATCTTGGTGTTGAATGATATAAAAGTGCATGTGTGAGCAGCAGGGGATATAAAAGAGAGTTTTGATGTGCCTCCATATGAAGTAGTTGAGTTGAAGTGCACTGGACTCTTGGCTGGTTAGAGTAATGTAGACCGTTGGATGTTCTGGTGGCATGTCTGTTCTCATTTCGTGAGCCACGCTGACACCTCCATCTTCATACACTCCTGCCGGTCACACGGGGACAATCGAGTCCTCCGCCCCCTTTCTGTCTCATCCAATCACAGCAGACGCCCACCGAGCTGTCAGCAGGTTTTCACTTGCACTGCTTTTATATGAGACCCTGTGCGAACACAGATGCACACACGCTGCCAGAGATTTCATTACTCTTGGAACGGACGATGGGACCCAGATCTTCTCATCGAGCCACGAAGAGCTCTGAATGTGCATACGAAGGTGACCGGTTCATACGAGAGCTCAGAATCACCATGCAGAACAAAACATACTTGCACAGATTTCATTGCAGTCTGAAAAAACTAACAAGCACAATCGCCTACATACACACAAGCACACAGACTATGAGCACATAAACGTATGAATATTTAAAGGAATCATTTAATTGAAGCTGTCATCATTTACTCAGTCAAATTGTCCCAAACTTCTGCAGTTCTTTAGATGTTGTTCTGGGTTCTTTTATGACCTCCTGGATGAGTCGTCGTTGCGCTCTTGGAGTAATTTTGGTAGGCCGGCCACTCCTGGGAAGGTTCACCACTGTTCCAAGTTTTCTCAATTTGTGGATAATGGCTCTGACCATGGTTCGCTGGAGTCCCAAAGCCTTAGAAATGGCTTCAAAGCCCTTTCCAGACTGATACATGTCAACTATTTTGTTTCTCATCTGTTCTTGAATTTCTTTAGATCACTGCATGATGTGTTGCTCTTTAAGCATGCTTTTCTTTGTCAGGCAGGTTCTATTTAAGTGATTTCTTGATTCAACAGGTCTGGCAGTAATCAGGCCTGTGTGTGGCTAGTGAAATTTAACTCAGCTTTCTAAAATAATGTGGTTAATCACAGTTCTTTCATGATTTAAGAGGAGGGGCAATTAATTTTTCACGTAGGGCCAGGTAGGTTTGGACAGCTTTTTTCCCTTAATAAATGAAATTATCATTTAAAAACTACATTTTGTATTTACGCGTAATATTAAAATTGGTTTGATGATCTGAATCTTTTAAGTGTGACAAATACGCAAAAAATTGAAAAAAACAGGAAGGGGGCAAAAACCTTTTCACGGCACTGTATATATAATTTCAGTATATTTTATTTTAAGTAATAAAAAGTTTTCTGTTTTTAATTTTAGTTTATTATTAAAAGTGTAAATAATAATAATAATAATAATAATATAATCATCATCAACAAATGGTCAAAAATTGTTGACTGTCCATGTTCCATGGACCAAAAAATAAATGAATAAATAAAATAAATAAATACAAATCATCATACTGATCTGGAATGACAAGATAGTGAACAAATAATGCCAATTTCATTTTTGAAGGGAAGTTTAATAAAACTATCCTAACTAAAAACTAAGATTGGGCACTTTAAAAGTGTAGCATCTGTAAAGGCACGTGCACACCATACTGACATAGCTCAATGCAACACATATCAGCTTACAAACATGCCACTAAATCCAAGCTCCGCTGAGGAGCAACATCAAACCACACAAGATCATCACTCTCAAGCTTTAGATAAGGAAAGATCTCATGCAAGCAAATCTCAGAACACCGCCAGCATATCCTCTCTATCTCACATACACACAAAACTAAACTTGAGATAAGCCTCGAGCTCATGCAAGCAAAGCTCCACTCACACATTTATTAGTAACACACATACACACACACATAGGCTGGCACTGCTAAGGGAGGCTTTTCACACTGAGATGCACTTACAAGATTGAAGGGATGGCCTGACATGAGCTCAGAGCGCTTTCAGAAAGAAAGAAAGAAAAACACAGAGGAGTTGGGGAAGAAAACCGAATCGGGTGATAAACAAAGTAATGACGAAATGTTTTTTTTAGCAAAAAGTGAGAAATATTTGATCTGGTTAAATATCAGGAGACAACGAAGACAACAAAGAGGCAGGATGAGGAAAGAAGACGAGAAAATACAGAATTAGAGGAGTGTGAAAACAGACGGTGAAGAGAAGTCACAGACATGGTTGGGAGTATCAAGTATAAATATCAAGTAATAATATATATATATATATATATATATATATATATATATAAATAAAATCACAGAAGAACTAAATATTGCAATGTCAGTTTTTTCGAATATCGTGCAGCCCTAATTGGGAACATGTACAGCATTTTCCATGACACGAGTCACAGAAGTGAGGCATAAGAGCACCTGCATGCTAGAGTTTACATAGCGCAATGTGACCAAAGTTCAGAAAAGTTTTCACAACCTTAAATCAAATCTTATGTTCTAAATCTTAATCTAATGTTCCAACCCGTTCCATCAGAGATTTCTGTAGTGTGCAGGAGCCATAAGATGTGAAATTCATTAAATAGCTCTTTTCCAAAACCAAGAGAGCTGTCATTTTCTTAGGTTTCATAGATGCTCAAAAAAGTTCTTGAATTGCTAATTCCCTAAACTAAATTAAAACCCTCAATATGTAAATGTACTATAAGTAATCTTACTTCATTCAGTACTTTAAAACACGGATAGAAAAACAGTTATTTCTACATGAAACTAGACTAATTCACACAATGTGTGTAAGTGCTGTGCTTACTACAATAGCAAAATGCTAACATCAAACCAAAGTCCCTTTCAGGGACAAGTCTGTTCACCTGATGGCCATCTATTTCAGGCATTTCAAGTCCTATGTATTTGAATAAGGAAATCCTGATATTTCAAAATCTGCTTTCCACACTCGCAATTAAATAACATATTTCAATTTAGCAACAAAATGTGACATGAACGATCCCATAAATGCAGATTCTTATGCTCAGATGATGTTAAAAAGCACATATCTTCTATTAAAAAGGCAGGATTTATTCTGCTATATTGTGCAATGCACTTTCTCCCATTCATAAGTATTTGAGTGCACTGTCTTTGTATATCTATAATATTTGATCAGACTCTTTTGGAATGAACTTTAAGCGATTGTTGAGTATCTTTTCTCACTTGCATTTGAGTGCCTGTTAACATAATTAACATAACATAATAAATGAGTCAAGTATTAGATTCTGATTCATTTAGGATGCTGTCGTTGAAGGTAGTGGCCTATGTTGACCGTAGTCTCGCTCGGGTCTGGAGCAGAGCTAATATCTCCTCTCCCCCCCCCCCCCCCCCAGCACTCGACAGAGAAAAACTCCACAGGTAAAGTGCACTTGAGTGAACATTCAGTTCACTGTCAATGTATTAAGTGTTGTCAGCTTAGTGCTAACGGCGTGCCAGTCTCCGTAATGGCTTGTTACGCGTTCTCGGCTGCTTAGCTGATGAGACCCGGTGTATTTGCTAGCTGTGATGCTTCAATTCCCTCCAAGTGTTTGGCTCACCTTCTTGAGTTGACTATCAAGTTTGGTGCATTCCTCTTTCTTCTGCTCAAGAGCGATTTCGAGACTCTTCAGCTTGGAGTCCTTCTTCAGTCCAGAGGAGGCCAGGGACGAGGCGTGCTCCTTCAGGTCCAATAGAGAGGCCTGAGGGCAAGGGAAAGGAAGGTTAAATCAAAGAGCACTTACTGAACAATCTACTTCTGAATGCAGACGATCAGGTTTGGGTGGGGGGGGGGAGGCTAATGAGAAGCAGGAGGAGACTTTGTTAATGTCATGCCACAGTCCCTGATTGCATTGAAACAACCGGAGCACAAACACATGTAAATATGCAGACTGGAACCACAGCCAGACAGTTTCGAGCCAATTTCAACATCAGGAAGAGCGAAGAGCCAAGAAAAATTGCCATGTGACAGTTTTTTTTTTCTTTTCGAAATGCACATTTGTATACAAGCACGCAATCAAAAGGATTTAATTCACTCAGCTCAGATTGGATCAAAAAACTGGCCTTGGTTTGGAAACAAAAACATTTAAAGAGACAGTTCACTCAAATTTAAAAACTCATTTATTCACCCTCATGTCGTTCCAAAGCAGCATGATTGTCTTTCTTTGGTGTAACTGTATAATGAATTGAGATTATAGAGTTTTCCAGTTTATAAAAGAATGCAAAAGCACCATAAATGTGGCTCATATGTCTCCTACACTATGTTCTAAATCTTCTGAAATCATACATTGGTTTTATATGACAAACAGACCAAAAATATCCTTGTTATTCACTGAAAATATTGACATTCTCCATTATGAGTTCATAAAGAGTTTATTAGAGCAAGTAAATAAATCATTAAGTAAATCATTCTTATGAGTAAAATATTTTCAATGAATCTTTTGATCAAGTTTTAAATGATTCATTCATAAATTAGATGATCCAGTTTGAGTTCAGCTCACTGACTCCCTTTACTAGAAGGTAAAACAGTAGCTTGCATTTTGATCTATTTCTCACCCCAAGCAATCAAATGCTATAAGTTACATGGACCACTTATGGTACTATTATGGTGCAATTGAAATGAATCCTTTTTGACGAAGGAAAGCTCCAGTCCTGGGTGAACTGTTCCTTTAACGTCACAAAGGCTTTTATGAGAAATAAAGTGATAAAATATGAAACCGGAGAATGATTTAGAGTTACAGTAGCGGTTACATCGCAATAGTAATATTACAAATATCGTGTGCTATTATGTACAGGCCTCTGCACATATGCAGTACATCAGCTCTCTGTTTTTTTAAGCAGAGTCTCAGGCACACTGTTAAAACTGCAGCCCTCCATCTATGAGGCCTTTCCTGCCGTTTCCGCTTTCAGTCGGAGAGCCCCACAATTTCACACTCGACTGGAGTCCACGGACCAAAATATACACTTAATGTTCATACTGCCGGCCCACGTTCTCTCGCGTTGGTAAAGAAAACAGGAGAGGGGAATGATGGGATGTGCTGGACTCCACACTTTATGATTAGTGCGCGGGAGGGGAGACCGAAAGAGCTTGGAGTGAAGAGGTCACTGCTCAGGAACAACACAATGCAGGAAAAACAAGGAGAGGGATATAACAGGACGCTGAGTGATGGGAGGCTGCTGCATGCAGCTCAGGACAGCAGCCGTGATCCAATGCAAATATCCAGGACACTGACGCTCTGCTTTTTTACGTGCAGCAAATGGACATGGGTGGATCTCATAAAATCTGTTAAGATGTCTGGGGTACAATTAACCCCAAAATCAAAAGAAATAAATATAAAATTATATTTTACTACAATAAAATCAATCCTACTTTCACGCCCAGAGTTTATAGGAAGTTCATGTTGTTTATAGGAAGTTCATGCATATAAAAAAAAAAATCAAGAATTTCATTAAAATTAATATTCATGTACACATATATACGGATATTATAAATATAATATATATACAGTATGTATATATATATATATATATATATACACACATACACATACACACACACAAACTACTGTTCAAAATGTAAATGGTTTTATAATGTTTATGTTTTTGAAAGAAGTCTCTTATGCTCACAAAGGCTGCATTTAATCAAAATTATAGTACAAATGTTAATGATTTATTATTAATATATAACTGTTTATTCCTTTGATAGCTGATACATAAAATATATAAACATATTTGTAACAAAATAAAAATATTTTTATTCTTTTATTTCTTGATGTCCTTTCTGAATAGAAGTATTTATATTTACTATATATTAAGTATTTATTAAAATAAATAAATAAATAAATATAAATAAACAAGTATAGCTTTGACATACCATTGTACTCTATAAATAAAGACAAAAACACCAAAAAAATGTATCTTAAAAATCTTACTGACCTTACTGTATTACAGTAACTGTAATACGTAAAAAATAACAATTGAAAATACTAATTTGTGAAGGGTACTGTGGCTAATTGTCATTAAGGTGTTTTGCATTGTCATTATTTTAATCCTACAATTTGGCAACATTTTATTTATAATTTAAATAATTATATAATTTCTTATTTTTCTTTTTGATTTTGGTGTCAAACATGATTTCATGAGATTCACCCACACGCTATGGAATTTCTACGGACGTTTGGAAGCAAACGGAAATGGAAAGGGAAAGGGAAAGCTACAGATGAGAGGAAGAAACTACTGTATGGGGGTGAGACAGGAAGTGGTTTAGTGGTGGGGATGTGCATCGCCCATGTTCTAGAGGCAGACAGCGGAGAGGAATGCAGAGATCACAGCAAACAAGAATAACCTGAATAATAAAACAGCCACAGTGCTGTGGGGAAAGACGGGGTACATGTACAGTGCAAATACAGTCATTAGAGTGATAGTTCAACCAAAAATGAACATTCGGTCATCATTTACTACAGAGCCTTATGACTCAGTCAGTGAGTTGAATGTTCAAATTATTCACACCAGTTTGAACTGAAATTATCCAGTTCACAAAACTGGTCTGAATGATACCAAGATTATTTATCAAGAAATGAAATGAAATGAAAATAAAATGCAGGAAACATTACAATAAGAATTTTGAGAAAATGTGCTTTAAAAAAAATAAAAAATAAAATAGATTTTTTTTTAAATGTAATAATTTAATGAAAAAATAATGAAAATACAAAAAAAAAAAAAAGTAAATGTAAAAAGGAATGTTATAAGAATTTGAGGAAATGTGCTTTAAAATAATGTTGCAATGCAAAACATTTAAACTATCCTGTACATCATGACAACATTTTTGTCCTTTATAAAGCTTGAAATCTTCAGAAAGCTTCAGCAACCAATACAATTGTTTAAAATGTCTCCTTTCGTGAATCAGGCAGGTTTGGATCGGCATAATGCGAGTAAACGATGACCAAACTTTTACTTATAGATCAACTAGGGATGCACCGATATGAAAATTTTGGCCGATACCGATATGGTGGCCGATATATCGTGCATCCCTAAGATCAACTATTCCTTTTATACTCACATAAGGGCTATTATTGGAGAGATTCTAGACAAAATACAAGAAAGTGCGAGAAGATAGAGAAAAAGGATAGAAGGCAAAAGGCAAAAGGCAAAAAAGAAGACAGAAGTTGAAGACAGAAAGATAAATGAGAAGTTGCTCTCTGGGAGGGGCCGCTCCCTCACATTTAGAATCTGCCATTTATCTTCATGTCCTACACACACACACACACACACACACACACACGCAGGACTGACAGTGTTGCGGGTCCAGCATGTCTGTTCTCATCACTACAGCTCCTCTGAGGTTGTGTGGACGGCTACGAAATCAGTCTGTCTCTATCAAGCCTGAGCACCTCGTCCAATAGTGCAATCTAAAGACGACGCTTCTAATGCTGCCTGGGATCTGCTTCAACCTCTTTAATCCACACCTGACACATTATAGAGGATTACTGCATTATAAATGCGAAACCGCCATCTGAACTAACAATATGAACGCAAGATTGCACAAGATGTCGGCTGGACGCCCACCTCTGAGCTATTTGTTGGTCAGTTGAATGTTTGTTTGCACAGTACAAAAACCTGTAACAAGACTTGCTTTCACAAATGCAAGATATAATCATACAATCATACAGAAACAATCCAGGCTAATCTTTTGCAAATATGCGCAAAAATTTCACAGACAAATCCAACTGATTCATAAAATAATAGTTTTACGTTTAATTACAGTTCTCCTGATAGCAGAGATTTAGTTTAGGATCGTTGGGATTAGTTGTGGATTTTAGTTGAGCGTACAGGCCACAATTCATGACTGCAATATTTACACCGCAAACCCAAGCGTCTGTTCACAAATATGCAAACAGATTACACAAAGCTGAGCATATGTTCGCAAGATGACATTGCAGTTTAAAGGAATAGTTGACCCAAAAATGAAAACTTGCTTAAAATGTCCTACAATGTAATTCTGTCATTTTTTCACCAATGTCACTACAAGATGAAGATCATTCCAAAAACAGCATGAGAAAAATCATCAATTTCATACAATACTGGCATTAATAAAGAATTAGTTTGTTCATGCAAAATCAAGTTCTCACCTCGCGATCGGACAGCTCTCCCTGCAGTAAGTTGACTTTCTCTTTCAGCTCTTTGAGCTCTTTCTTGCTGCTGTCCAGTTCTTCGCTCTTCTCTCTCTCGTCTCTATCCCTCTGTTCCTTAAGACGCTCGATAATACGCTCCTACAAACATCACAAACAAAAAAAAAGCATGTTAAGCGTGTGATTTAGAAGCAAAGAGAAAAATAATGCCCATTTTACTTTCTTTTGTGGAACACAAAATTAGTTTTCTATACAGTACAATATACAATAGTATGCAAGATCATAAATTAATAGTTACAGTAAATTTCACCCTGCTCCTTTCACCTTTTGTGTTCCATGGGAAAAACCCCACCATACAGGTTTGGAGCGACATAAGGGTGAGTAAATAATACATTTACCAAAACCTACCTTTTCACAGCAAAGCTAATAATAATATTGCTGATATAAAAAGTAAATATGATTATTATGACTATTATTATTTATTGTAATTGTTGTTCTTAATAAGTATAACTTAAAATTAAAAGTATTAAGTTATTTTAAATAAATAAATAAATAAATAAATATTAATAATACAATAAGCTATTATTATTATCATCATTATTTCATTATTATTATTATTAAATAGAATAAAATATAATATTTATTACTAATAAATAAATAAATATTAAGATTAAAAATTAAATAAAATGTAGCACAAGCAAAGATTAAATTTAATTTGTGGTTATTCGCATTCCGATTTATGTAAGGGTTGTAAAATTTACCCAAAAACAAGAGCAGGCCAATACCGGTCAAAGTTTAGAAAGCGCAGGCACACCAATTCCTTAATTCCCATCTTAAGCAGAACTCTGCACGGCTAGTGGAACATATCTGAATGAACACATTCGCCGTACGATCCATTAATCTCACACATGTGCAAACTTTGGCCAGGTGTTGGAAGATTTGGCCGCGTCTGCTTTCAGAAAATGGAAGTAACTTTAGTATTAATGAGTTGGATCTGATGTGAACGGCTACTATGCTGCATTGTACTCACATTTTAATAAGGTCTCAAAAAAAACACCTTTAATAATTCAGAGAGGAAAAAGAGACACACAGAGCAACAACGTGAGACAATAAGAGGTCTGAGGAAAGAGTGTTTTGGCGCAGTCGATGGCCTGTGAAAGAGGATGGCTGGAATCATGGAGAGCATCAGCCTCCAGCACTTTCACACCCGTGCCAGCCAAAACTCACACACCGAGCGGCCGAACCGGACAATAATAGCACTGCTCTTTTTCAGGCCCGCACTGCATTTTTCACCGCGAGGGCTGTATTTCACTCTCCCGAGCTGACGTTCCTGGCCAATCCTCGCTGAGATGTGACATTAAGCATGACCGCTCATTGCCGTGCCAGCTAACTCTCACACCGGGTTCACAATATGCATCGAACGGCATCTGAGGTATGTGAAATGGAAAACTGCATGCGTTTAAGTAAGGAAGGACAGATACGCTCTGCAAATGTCTGTCTGCTGCAAAAGTGCATACGTGTCCGCCTGTGTTCGAGTATGTGGGTCCACTAAAAGAGCCAGAGCTTTCTTTTTCAATATGCAGATGGCTGACAAAGTTAATTTCCGCACCTCGGATGGGAGAAGCAGGAGGCCCAAACCTCGGGGCGTGAGGGTATGTGAGCGAGATGAAGTGGGGAAATGCAGAACAGCAGATCGCTGCCAAACTGCGGTTGTGTAAGACAATGCTAATAACCGCCGGGGTTAATTCATTCATATTCATGAGCTGGAGTTCAGGGGGCAGGTGGTGGTGGAGGGGGAGGATATGTTGATTCGGAGAACTGCATCATTCTGGAAGCCCGTGACCTGAAATGTTCAGTGAACTACGTGTACGTGTTGGCGAAGATAATAGCGCATGTGATGAGAGTTGATGAGAAGTGACGGGGATTGACCTGTGGATCCGTACACTTGCTGGGAGGTCACTCGTGGTGTGAGAATGACTGAGTCCTTACATAAGAGTGTGTGACAGAGCAATCTTCACCGCTGTCACACACATTCACAGCTTCTGCTGTTCTGCAACTGCAGTTCACGTCACCTGTGAAATCATGTCTCTGAAGGAAACAACACAAGCTACCACATCCAGTTTAGTTATTAATAATAGCACTATTAGTACTGATGATAATAATAATATTAGTAATAATAATAAACAACTTTATGGAATATTAATCAAATGTATAAAGAATAATAAATAAATTATTTACATAAGTACTACTACAACAACTACTAATAATAATCACAAACAACAACAAAAAACTAAATGCAATATTAATATTTACTAAAAGTGTTAAATTACACATTCATATTACATATAAAAGAATTTTAATTATAGGTAGAAAATGCTACTACTTTTACTACCAATAATAAACAACATTTATATAATATTTTCTATTAGTATTAGATCATACATTAATATTAAATATGAATATTAATGGTTGTTAATAATAATAATAATAATATAGTAACAAACAACAACAAATTAGTGTATTATTAATAAAATGTTAAATATAAATAATAATAGCTCATTTACATAATTAATTGGTATTATTACAACTGCTATTAATAATAATAATCATTATGACAACAAACAATTAAATGAAATATTATTATAATATTTACCAATTTAACAATAAGTATTAATTAATTCTAGTTAGAAAATGCTATGACTATTACTATTACTACTAGTAGTATTAGTATTAATAATAATAATAGTAGTAATAATAATAAACAAATTAGTTATATGTATATCATATTTACTAATAGTATTAGGTTGTACATTCATATTAGGTATGGTTATTAATTATTATTCACTGCTCTAGATTCAAATGTCAGCCCCTCCACCTGCCTTAATGCTACAGTATGGATGACAAAAAATACAGTACCAGTACTTCCAGAAAATACTCAAATTAAGGATGAATACAAAAGTAATAATTAATATCAATAATATCTGTAATGTCAACCCTATTTGCTGGTGTATAACTGATTTGCAGCTGCTCTGAACACTCAATGGGTGAGAGTCATACCAATAAATATGTTGGCATTGTGACAACCCTAAAACAGACAACTAGTTTTCAGCGGCCATAAATGTGAGTGTTCGTGGGTGTCCACCTTCTCAGCCAGGGCCTCCTCCAGCGTGGTGAGGGCCGTGTCCGTGTTTGAAGTGTCTGCCTGCAGGGATTTGACACGCTCCTTCAGGCTGGTCATCTGCTTCTCCTTATCCTTCAGCTGCTCCTGCAGGTTCTCAATCTGCACAGAGAGAGAGAGAGACAGTTTTACGACATCGAACTGATCCAGATGAAAATGCTATAAACAGAGTATGAATGCCACAAACACAGTACTTCAGTTCCAGTAAATACTAAAATGAATGATTAATAAAAAATGAATGAATAACAATAGCAATAATATCTGTGTAACGTCAATTCAATTTGCTAGTGTATAACTGACGGCCGCTTTGAACACTCCATGGGTGAGAGTCATACCAATGAAAATGTTGCTACTGTGACAACCCTAAACCAGACAACTAGTGAACTTAACAGGTAACAACAGGACATTGATGAATTTTGGTGGCTGTACACGAATGTGTGTATGTGTTCGTGGGTGTCCACCTTCTCAGACAGGGCCTCCTCCAGCGTGGTGAGGGCCGTGTCCGTGTTTGAAGTGTCGGCCTGCAGGGATTTGACGCGCTCCTTCAGGCTGGTCATCTGCTTCTCCTTATCCTTCAGCTGCTCCTGCAGGTTCTCAATCTGCACAGAGAGAGAGAGACAGTTTTATGACATCGAACTGATCCAGATGAAGATATATCTATTAAAGCACAATAAACAACATTTACTCACACTTAAGCTCACAGTAGACTAAGTGAAGCCATTTTTCATTTTATTTTCAGTACATGCACTTACAGCACTCCATATGCAACAACATTAGGAACGGGGGGGGAGGGTCAGATCAGTTAAAAACAATTATTTTTTTCACTGTTCAGCTGAAAATAAATAATGGCCTCATTAGAAGCATATTCAGAACTAATTCTCTTCATAAACTTTCCTTATCTGCGTGCGCGGCTGGCGTGTGCGTGACGCCGGAGCTGATGAATGACGGGGGGGGGGGGGGGGTCAGATCAGTTAAAAACAATTATTTTTTTCGCTGTTCAGCTGAAAATAAATAATGGCCTCATTAGAAGCATATTCGGAACTAATTCTCTTCATAAACTTTCCTTATCTGCGTGTGCGGCTGGTGTGTGCGTAACGCCGGAGCTGATGAATGGCACAGGAGAGATGGGCATTTCCACGTTTCGCTCCATTCATCATGTCCCGACAGCTCAATGAAAAGACTGACTGTTCCTGTCCACCGTTTCACATTCAATTAAACGCTGGCAGATTTGATAAATAGTTGCCGTTTTTGTTTCTTTTAGCTGCTTTGAAACAACCTGCTGTTGATAGAGCTGCTCTGTGTGCAAACACATTTTATCAGCAGGCCTTACCTCGACTGTTTCGAGTAAAAGTTCTTGGGCTGAACAAGATTTAGAGAAAATATATGGTCTTTGATATGAACGTAATTGTTTTAAGATGTATATTCTGAAGGGTTGGCATCAGAAGTTTTGTTGCTATGGCTGAAACAAACACTATTACAAAAACATCAGTAATTTATATACATTTAAATATTTAAAAAAAACTAATGTATACAATTCTACATAACTTATATATCATATTTACTATTTTTTATGTTTCAAGACATTTGAAAATAACTGAAAATAATTTTTAAAACTTTAAAGTTATTATAAACCATACAGTATATTATAATTAATTAATTTTCAAGACATTTGAAAATTACTCACTTATTTTTTTATTGTTAAAACTAACTTTAAAATTAACCAAACAAAATTAGCAGACCAAAAAAATCTTTCATTTCTACCATTTAATAAATATAAATATATCATCACACATATACTGTATATACACATACATACATATATAAATAATAAAAAATACTATATATTTGTTGTTTTTAATAATTTATTATTCATGTTTCAAGACATTTATAATGACAAATAATGAAAATAACCTCTGTAACTAAAGTAAAAATAAGCCATTATAAACCACTTACAGCATGTTATATTACATATTTTAATTGTTATTATTATTAATTATTCCTGCTTCAAGACATTTGAAAATCACTGAAAATCATAAAATTCACTAATTTTTAGTTATCAAAAATGACTATAACTACATTAAAAACCTAACGAAATTAGCAGACCAAAAATCTTTCCTTCTTCCATTAAAGAAATATAAATGTATATATATTATGCTGTATCATTTATATAATATAGCTATATATTTTTTTCTTTTTTATTAATTATTATTCATGATTCAAGACATTTGAAAATAACTGAAAATGTAATGGAAATCACCTATTTTTTTAGTTATTAAAAATATCTGTACCCACATTTATTATAAACCAAACAAAATTAACAGACTAAAAATCTTTCCTTCAGCCACATCTCCCACATCTTTTCTCCCTTTGTAGTTTGTTTGAAGTCTTTAAGTGCCTTTTTTTTTTATTCAGTGTCCGGAAAAGAGCAAGAGAAAACTGTGACAGCGGCGTGACATCTGGTTTCCGAACTCGACCGCTGAGAGAGATAAAGCTGTGTCGACCTATGAATGTAATTAAAATAAAGTGAATGTTTTAGCAAAAGCGATTACAAGGATAACAACTGTAGGCAGAGGGAGAAGTGAGAAGAAACCCTATAATGAATTTGCCCTGGTTCAAAAAACGACAGTTGTTGCTCAAATAATGAAAAGTACGGCAGGGTTTGTTGTTTTAAATAATTTCAGACATGTTTGAACAGATGTCGGGGTTAGTCTCAGCTAGTTTTAAGCGAAAAGCTGAGTGGGGGGAAAAGAAGTTGTGCTGAATGGTCCTGGTATGGAATTGTGGGAGACTTTTTGTGGAATAACTACGTACCAAAAGCATAACAGTGCATGTCCAATATACTCGGTTAAACATCTCCAGCCCTTCATTAATCAAACACACAGCTGACAGCTCCACCTGTCCGACGATACACACATTCACACACACTTCACCTCCTTCCCTTTGATATCGTCTGCGGTCGCCCATGAAACCTGGTTGTGTAACGCAACCTGATTACACTCCTCTGCCCCATTACCCAGCATCCCCCAGAGTTTTGGGTTACCCCGTGCAGCTTTGGCCGGCGCACGCGATACGCTCATGAATATTTTATTGCGCTAGTATCATGCATGTGCAGAGTCATATGATAACAGCAATTATATTTCGGAAAACAATCAGTGCATTGAGAGGAAAACTGCGATCCTGTGTAGAGTTAATGGAGGAAAAATGCCTTCATCTTCCTCATAAAGGGAAGATGGGCTTTCAGATCTAGATTACAGGGATCCATGTCAAGCCAAATGATGATTACGTTCAAATAGAAAAAAAATCTATGTTGGGAGAAGTTTAAACCGGAATTCAATGACCTGGTATCTAAAATTGAGGGAAGAACAGTGTGTGTAGATGGACTCACACACTCCCACAAGCTCCTCTACCCGGTTTCTGGTTTCATCCGAGAGTGTGTGAGCAGATAAAAGACAAGACGAGACTGAAAGAGCAGCCTCCCGTCAGAGATCCAAACGCTTGGAGACTTAAAGGGATTTGTGTGTTATTGAGGGAAGAACAGTGTGTGTAGATGGACTCACACACTCCCACAAGCTCCTCTACCCGGTTTCTGGTTTCATCCGAGAGTGTGTGAGCAGATAAAAGACAAGACGAGACTGAAAGAGCAGCTGCCCGTCAGAGATCCAAACGCTTGGAGACTTAAAGGGATTTGTGTGTTTGTGTGTGTGTGTGTGTGAGAGAGAGTGAGAGAGGGAGGGGGTTGTCTGAATTATTAAAGAGTGTTTTGTTTCACTTAGTGATCTGCTGCTTGTCAGTGTTGTGTGAGCTCTGGAAACAGACAGAGAGGCACACGACACACAACAAGACAACAGGCACAGACACACACACACACACACACACAAACACGCACAGAGTGAAAAGATTTGAGCGTTTACAACGGGTTGCATCAGAATTGTATGCAATGTGCAAGCCGAACAAAACATGTCAAACCCACAGAGTGGCGCGACGGGAGGGGAGATCATTTCTGCAGATTTTCGGCAGATGTGTATTAAGAAGGTTATACTGTATGTATAAGAGAAACTGTTTGCTAGATGTTTCCAGCACTTTTTATTAGAAGGTTCTCTGGAATTCTTCACAGTGTTATTTTAGTAGAATTTAATATTTTGAATTATTAAACATTTCTATTTCCATTGTAAGTTTCCATTTTCTTTAAAATTTTGGTTGAAGTTTTAGTAATTTTGCCGTGTCATTTTTAGTAGTGTTATTTATATAGTATACGTCTATAAAATGTTATTTATTTTCATACATTAAGTTAAACCAAATGAAAATTACGAATGTTGTGCTGGAAAATAGCTGAAATAAAACGTGTTGTTTTGTTTTTTTTAGTTTACATTTAGTTTATTCCAAGTATCAAAACATCTTTTAATGGTTTTAATTTCAGTTTGGGGATTTAATGGTTAGTAATTTTTGTAACTGTAATAACCCTGATTCTTGATTATGATTTGTCAAACACAGTGTTCTGAGATCGATATTTTTTTTTGCATAATAAGAAATAATGGGTATACACTGTATACCTAAATAATTATAAATTGAATCCAACACCAATTTTTTTTCAGTGTAATTGACCCTATTTATGACTTCCCATTTCACACTCAAAAAATTGCGTAGGATTTACTTCAAAATAATTTTCATTCAGAAATTCCTAATACATTTCACAAATTAATAAATAAATAAATGAGTAGTAGCACATTCAATAAGACAAATTGTGTGAAACACACTCCAGTAATCTTATTTACAACTTTGAAAAATCAGAGCGGTCTCTCAAACCCCTCTGCAGTCTCTTTTTGCTCAAATAAAAAATTATTTAAGCTAAAAATAAATCTTTAATGTTAATTTATTTATTCATAAACAAATAAGTAGCCAATTTGCGTCAGGATCTTGATCCACCTGTCAGGATTTATTTAGCGACATACACATGAATCCTGTCATTTACGAGAGGTTTGTTGAAGCGGAATGGGTGGCGTCGAACACACACGCTGCTCAGTAATGCAAATGAGCGCGAGGAGCTTGGCACCTGAGTGGGTGAGACCTGACAGGTAAGTGGCACGACGCCAGTCTTTGTGTCT